GCTCAAGGCCAGAGCTGCAATGTGGTGGCCGCCGGCCCGGCTGTACAGCAGCCAGACCAGGGCCGGTCCCAGCGTTGCGCCAAGCGCCACCAGCACGCTGATGGACGCGGCCCGTTTCAAATCGGACCAATGGAAATTGATGACGCCTTGCGCGGCGCGCAACCAGTACCACGAACCGAACACATTGGCCACCAAGATGCCGACTGCAACGCCCTGCATGCTGAAAAAGGCACCCAGCAGCGCCAGGCAGCTTATGGTCACAGCACTGAGCAGCCCGGCGCGCAGGATGGATGTCGCGGCGCCCAGGCCGGTGAGTGCTGCTAGGCACAAGTACATCGGCGAACCAACGGCCAGCGCTCCTGCCAGCCAGCCCACTAATGGCGTTGATGCGGCCCACTGCTCCCCGTAGAGCAGCCGGACGACGGGCCCAGCCATGAAACATATGAAGCCCGCGAAAGCCCAGCACAGCGTGCAAACGTAGGTCAAGGCCAGCACGAACGGAGCACGCGTGTCCCTTGACTCGCGTGACTGCTTAGCAAAATCGCTAGTGACGACTGCGCCTGCAACATCGGACACCAACCGATTGAACAAAGACAGCAACCCGCTGGCGCGAGAGTAGTAACCCGCAGCGGTCAGATTTTGCAAGGCACCCAGGAAAAAATCCGGGGCGCTCTTGGCGGCCGTATCCGCCAGCCATGCGAGCGAGATGCGGGCTCCGAAAGACAGTACACGTCGGATTTCGGTAAACCCGGGCAGCCACGGGAGACTGGAAGGCCTGAAGAATGTTGCTACCAAAGCACTCACCACCGCCGCCGCCAGGTTACCCCAGGCGAGGCTGACGGCACCCCAGCCCGACCAAGCCAAGCCGATGGAAACCGTGGCATTTGCAGCCGTATTGCTGAATTGAATGACGGCCATGGAGCCGAAGCGGAGCTCGCGCGCCAGCCAAGCATGGGTGATTGAGCCGAAGGGCGTCACTGCGAAGTTCAGTGCAAGCAGGAACAGAATGTTGCGTAGCCGCTCGTCCTTGTAGATGTGAGCGACCGGTATTGCCATGCCCGCGATAACCAACCCAAGCATCAGCCCAATGCCAAGCTGCACCGTCCACACGGCCCTGATCCGGTCTTCCGTCAAGTCCTTTTCCTGCACCAGGTACTGTGTAGCTC